ATTTTCAACAGGATAATAAAAAAAAAAGAAAAATGAATAATATATGGTACAGTCTTTGAATTTTGAAATTTCTCAACACTCGATGTATAAAATTGGACAATTTTTCTTTACAGGTGGTCCTCACGTCCATGCACAAGTACATTCCACGGATCTGGATCATTCGGTGCGACGATGTGACCAGATTGAGCGATCTATACTCTCATCCAGCGTCCTCGTTCAAGTTCAGCGAAACAGAATTCATTGCCGTGACGGCTTATCAAGTAAGATTTAATTCAATCATTTACACTTCCTTGTATAATAATTCCAATATACAGGGTGAACCACCTATAACACGAATATCTCTATTATTTTTGTTGTTAGTGGACAGATCAAAAAATTTTTTTTTATCATAAACGATATCAATCATAGATGATACCTCTAGTTTTCTTTTCTATAGAAGTGCATAGAAACTGACAGTCAGCATTTTGAACACACATTGTGAAATTTAAGTAAGTTCGAAGTTCAAGATCAGAGAAACCACTTTTCGTGTGAATCTGAAAAAAATAAAAAGATACTCAGAAAAGTATTTAAAAGGAAACTATAGGCTTGCACATAAAAAAGTTGAAGGCGAGCTCGAAAATGCCATCACCTTGAAGGTCCTGCAAAACAGTATCATCTCCGATAAAAACAATTTTAATTTCTCCACTAAAAAGCAAAACAGTAGAGGTGATCACGTTATACGAATTACCCTGTATAACATACTTCGTCGCGATAATCAATGCATCGCAGAACAACGATAAAATTACGTTACATTAAATTTGACATTTTAAACGGAAGAATTTTTTCAAGAAACACTCTTGCACGTTTCAGAACGAGAACATCACAAAGCTGAAGATCGACAACAACCCTTTCGCGAAAGGCTTCCGAGAAACGGGCCAATCTCGATGCAAGAGGAAATTCCAGGCGGAGGCAGAAAGATCGAACCACATGGACGACGACGACGAGAACGCCTCGTCGGAATCGGAATCGAAGAGGTCCTCGTTGAATCACCTAAACGTCGCGAGTCAGAGGCCGAAGACAGCTTCCAGCGAGACCGGGAGTTTGGACGACAGTGGCGCTAGTAGTTACGGCGGTATCAGTCCACCTCTGCCCTCGATTATTCACCAAAATTCACCGTCCAGGGACGTAGATCGCGACGCACAGCCAAGATTACACAGGCCATGGATCGATTCTCCTACGCGATTGTCACCTAGATTCGCCAATTTCAACCTTTCCGCGTATTATCTGCGACTGTTTCATCCCTCTTTCGCGATGTAATCAGATTGTCGTATCAATCGATGGCGCAAATTTTACGAAGAATCATAGAGAAGTTAGGAGGAGAGAAGAAGCGATCTATAAGCTAGGATAGAGAATTACGTCCGCTATTTGAATTTAAACGTGGACGACGAACCAAAGATTTTCTAATTGCAAGCAATACGTAGTTCGATTTAGGTGTGTCGTTTCGATGCTGTGAAAGCAAACGGAAACGTTTGGAGAATTTGATCTGAGCTGTGTTAAGATCAATTTTGCGAGAAGTTACGATAGAATAGGAAGCAACGTGCCTGAATTTGTCGAACTTCTTTACACTTCTGGTAGGTGTAGAAGTTTCGATCAACGTGAAAAGAAGGGAATATTGTTGTCTTTCACACATGTAGGAGAAATAGAATACGAGTGAATTTTCATCTTTGAAATGTACAATGAATACTCTCGTTTTAATTGTTGATAGAGGACCAAAGATGTTTTAAACAGATGATTATTTTCAAGATTTACCTGTTCTTGATGCATCGATTAAGCGAATTTTTTTTTGTAAAATATGAACTGAAACGGGGAAACTTTTACCGTAGGGTATCAGAGATAACGGCAATAATTCAAAAAAATGTGTATGAAATGAAAATTAGTGTTAGAAATAAGTGCCTAATATCGTGAATATAACGTGAATGTAAATAAGTACAATTTAGTGCCTTACGAGAGGAACGAATAAGCGAATAATTATGATTAATATAATTATCATTGTTATTAAGGATACGTGGTTCCTTGAAATGCTCGAAAAGCGTGGAGCATGCGGAATAACAGAGTCTGCCAGTATTATAAGCGCTGTATTATCCTTTACATGATTGTTAATTAAGCACATACGTCCATTTGTGCGTATCACATATTTTTTATCGATAAAATTTATACACAGCGCTCTATGAAAATACCAAAATATTTTTTACCGTTAATGTCGTTACTTAAGACACATAATTTAAGGAAAGCGATCATTTTTCTACTGTGCGTTATCGTTGTAATAAATCACCTTTTACACGAAAACTCGGTGTTTCATTATTACACCCTACTTTTAATATTCCGATTCTTCGACCTACTATTATTATTCCAAAAATCCTAATTTACTTATACAATAATTTACAATTTTACACATATAATAATTAAAATTTAATAAAAATTGTT